ATGGCAACATATGTACAAAAGTGCTTGACACAATGGATGTTATGTATGGATTGTGATAAAAGCTGTAAGAGCGCCTAATAAAATGATTTAAAATAACAATAAAAAATAAAAAGGGGGCTTGCTTTTTGCCACTGAGTTGATTCTGACTCATGGGACCCCATGTTTTACTGAGTATATGCCATTGGGTTTTCTTGGCTGTAATCTTTATGGGAGTGTATCACCAGGTCTTTCTTCTGTGGCACTGAAGCTGATCCAAACCACAAACCTCTGACACATAACAGGTGAATTTAAAGTAGGATAAGCTATAAAGGTAAGTCAGCACTATAAACACTTGAGGTATCATTACCATAACCCTAGAGCATCTTTCCTCCCTAGAGGTTCAAAAGATCCAGTAACAAAGGGGCCACACCCATATTCTACTAGTTTCATCAGCCTACAGACCAGGAATCCCCTCATAAATCAACATCCACTTGCAGGTCTCCAAAACAATCCTCCCTCCACCACCAAAATAGCTGCTTCTTTATAAGAAGCAAGTCTGTTACAGAACAATTTTTTAAATGAGAAGGTAATGTTTGTACTTTAAAACAAGAACAGCATAATGTGGCTAGTGAATGATCAAGAATACTCTGCTGTCAGTAACAAAGCTGTTTTTTCTTTTTATGATGATATTAATCAGAGTGGTACAGACTAGCATACAGTTTTAATTGCTTATTCCTAACTTACATTAATCCATTCATATGCACAATGGAGCATATGCTTAAAAGGAAGCAATAAACTCATTATTTTAAAATTTAGCAAGTTATTCAGAAGAATAATTTGTATGTTTCCTCAAGATATCTTCCCCAGATCCATAAGTTGCATTAATCTTACAATTTTTTTAAAGAAAATAAAGGAAAGAAGGAAGGAGGATATATGTGTATTTAAGTCTAACGTGCTTCTCATTTACTGGTAGTTAACCTTGCACACCAAACAGGTTATTCAAAGCAAAAAGTCTGCAAATAGCACCTTCTCTGTCATTTCAGCTTCAGGAAAAAACGAGGAAAGTATGGAACTACATCAACTGCTTTAGTATAAAAATGTTAAGTATTTCCAATCAGAACACAAATGCAAATTTGGTATCTGTTGCATGCCTTAACAATTTTACTCCCCAAACAAAATATGATGCTACTTTCAATGTTTAATATTCTTTCTTTTAACATAATTTCCGAGTTACGAGCATGCATAATTTATCACATTGAGTATTAATGTTTACCTAATAAACTTTAATAAACTTTTTCTGTGAACATGTATATATACAAAGGGGCTTCAAAAAGTTTGTGGGAAAATGCCCATTACCTCCAATTTTTCTGCAAACTTTTTGAAGCCCACCTCCCATATACATATATATTAACTATACGGAATGATTCCATAAAATTTTGGATTACATTAACTTCTATAAGAACGAACTCTCTACAGATATCACCAAAATGAATAAAATGAGGGGCGCTTGATTTCTGCGTTAGGTGGAACGCCATCAGAAAGCCTAGTGTAATGACTGATACTTCACTGTAATGGTCAAAATGAGAATGAATGAATGAGTTCCGCTCACAAAAATAGGCCATCTACGAATGCTTCCTACAACGGAGGACGGCGAGACTTGGTCTCATGTATTGTGTGTGTGTGTGTGTGTGTGTGTGTGTGCATGTGTGTGTTACTACAACGGAGGACGGCGAGACTTGGTCTCATGTATTGTGTGCGTGTGTGCATGTGTGTGTTACTACAACGGAGGACGGCGAGACTTGGTCTCATAGACTTTGGGGTGGGTGTGTGTAGCCTCATGTACTGTGTATGTGTGTGTGCGTGTACGTGTGCGCGCGCGTGTGTGCGTGTGTGTTACTACAACGGAGGACGGCGAGACTTGGTCTCATAGACTTTGGGGTGGGTGTGTGTAGCCTCATGTACTGTGTGTGTGTGTGTGTGTGTGTGTGTGTGTGTGTGTGTGTGTGTGTGTGATCAGAAGGGCCAGTTGCTGGAGAAGGAAAACCTGCTTGGTCAAGTAAAGGGTTGCAAAACAGAGGAAGACCCTCGATGAGATGGCGTGGCACAAAGGCTGCATTAAACCTAACCATCATCAGGATGAGCAGGGCTCCGCAGTGCTTGCTACTACTGTACGTAGGGTCGCTATGAGTTGGATCCCACTCGACAACTAACAATAACATGTGTACTGCAAGCCATCTACAAGCATTACAGCCCAGGCCACCAAGTGGGATTTGGAAAGTGCGAGAGGCCGCATGTGGCATGGCAACTGCCAAGTCATAGCAACAGGCAGCCATGACAACAGGCAGCCAGGATGACATCAGGCGGTGGTAACAATGCAAGATACGCAGGTGAGCGTCCAGTTTGCCAGTCGGTCCGGGACTGAAAAGACCGTGTGCAAATGAGTTCGTCCAGCAATGAACGGAAGAGGATGTTAAGAATAACAGTGTCGCCCAGCAGGGTGTCTGGGATCAGCACAGTGGTCGGGCAGGGCCCAAATGTGCAGCGAAATGGATGGAAATTAGGAATAGGATCGGAAAGGCTACAGAGGGAAATGGTGGCGCTGGGGCTCGGGGGATCTGAGGGGGGCGCCTCCGCTCGTCCTCAGAGGAAGCGAAAGTGAGGGGTCTGAGGGCCCCTGGGGCACTCACCAGGGTCGTTCCAGCCCAGAGCGGAGCCCGAGATGAACAGGAGAGAAAGCAGGAGCAGAGGCCAGCGCCCCGCGTCTCCCGGCCCTCCGGCTGCGGCCATGGCGCTTGGTGGAAACGACGCGCGACCAACGGCCCGGCGTTCCACCGGGGCTGCGGAAGTCCTCACGCCGGGATCTCGGCCAGCGGCGAACGGAGGACGAATCCGCAAACAGGCAGCCTCGGGAAGGTTCGTGCGCCAGCTGCCTGTCACTGGCGCTGGGCCACGTAGTGGCCCCGGAGTGGCCGCCGCCAGCCCCGCCCCTGGGGCTCCGCGTCCCGGGAGTGCTGATTGGACGCCCGCGGGGTGGCCCATGCAGGGGGCGGGGCCTCGAGCTGTGGGAGGAACCGGAGGCGGGGTATGGCGGCTGCTCCCGACGGAATTGTGTTGCGCTGTAGCCTGACCTGGGATTTGGGGAGGTTGCTTGCGATCCTGCTATGAAATTTAAATGTAGTAAAGTTTTGTATTTTTAAAGTCCAATAACCTTTCCACGGTTATTCCACCCGTGCCTTCTGTAACTACGTCTTCTGCGCCTAACATAGTGCCTGACATAAGTTCAAATGGTGTTTTATTTCTGATTGATAAATACAAAGAAGATTCATATTTCTTTGTTCTTCTGGCAGTTCATGGGATATTCAGTGTTCATCAGCACTAGAGTCCAACTGTATCAATACTTCTTAAGTCTTGCCCATTCATCTGTCCACCTCTCACATAAATGCAGTGAGTGAAAATACTATGGCTTGGGTCAGGTGCACTTAGTCCTCAAAGTGCCATTTGTGTGCTTTAACGCTTTCAAGAGGCCTTTTCAACAGATGCACCCAGTGATTTTTCTTAATGCTGCCAACATGACTGTTGCTTGGGGATGCAAGGAAAATGAGATCCTTGGCAACTTCTATCTTTTCTCCATTTATTATAATGTTGCCTGTTGGTAAAGTTGTGAAGAATTGTGTTTCTTTACATTATTAGTAGTCCATATTGAAGGCTAGTCTTTGATCTTTGGTACTTTACGTCTTCTTTCTTTTCAGCAGGCAAGATTGTGCCATATCACAGGTGGTTACCCTTGCCCCAATCCTGATGCCACGTTGGTTTCTAGAGTTATGTTCTTTTTTCAAGAATCCCTTGAGAAAAATGTTATGAAATGTTAAAGATGAAATTATATTATGCCTGAAATTTGCTTTGAAATAATATAGGAAAAAGTCATGTGAGGACTGGGGATATAGATAAAAGAACAGTGACCATGTGTTGATAATTGTACCTTGTTGGTGGTGCATGTCCTGGGGGAATCATCACAAAGTTTTAATAGTGAGGACAAGCAAAACTTTATTTGGGATATGCGTGAATTACTGCTTGAAACCAAGGCACCCCTGACAGAGCTCGTTTCATTCTGTTGCATAATTTCATGTCAACTTAAAGATATATACTGATGTAGGGGTGGTATTTAACCTGTCAATCAGGTCACAGCCTGATGGTGGCTCCTTGAGTACATGGCCTTCTCATGAGGAGGGTCCTGGTAACCTCTCCCCTCTCTGCCTTCACCTTCCTGCTGGCGGGCCACTCAGACCTGCCAGAGCCTTGTGATGCTTCCACAGCTATTGGATCCACAAGACTTTGCACCCACCAGCCTGCGATCTTCCTGCATTTTGCATCATTGCATGTGGCTGTGTGCATCTGAAGAGGGACTTACAGACTAGTATCACACTTATGGACTTGAGTTGTTCTGGGCTGGGATGTTTTCTTGATATACAAATTACTTCTTCATATAAAGGGAAGCGTTCCTTACACATAAGAGTGCCACTGAATTTGTTTCTCTAGTCAACCTGGTCTAACACACATCCTAAACTTTAAAATAGTCCAAATGCCATTTGAGTACCTCAAATTCATTTCTTGACCAGCATGCCGCCAAGGTGAAGTCCCAAGGAGACAGAGAAGGGTGGTAGCCCTGAGCAATATGGGAAAGACAGATGACGGAGGAGCATACATATTGAGTAGATAGATGGAGGAGGATCAAACACAAAGAACAAGGGTAGACATAAGGAAGTTCTCCCTCAAGACCAAAATATGCAAATAGAAGGGGAGCTCCTGAGTCCTCCCTGATTCTGGTCTGATGTATCACAAAAGACCCTTCCTGACTCTTTGACACCAAGCTTTTGACAAAGATTTTGCAGAAGTTCCTGTGCATGCTTATCTCATTTCTTCTAAGAACTACACTACTACCACCTCTGCATTTTGAAAAAATCAAATCCTGTATGACCTTTCAGATTTGGTCAGACATAGCTTTGATGGTGTGGCAAGCCATCTCTCTTTCCTCTGTGCCACATATGTCAAACAAAATTCTGTTTACTCTCACTATTAGAATCCTTTAATGATCTTCCCCTAGGGCAAGAGAAAAGTGAAAAGCTATGGTTTATACACAGTGGTGGTTTGATCTTTTCAATAGACAAGGTCAACAAATAGTAACTTCTAAGGTCTCTGTTAAAAGCTTTTGTAGTAAAGACATAGGGGATGTGTTGAAGAACAAGGATGCCACTTTTAAGACTAAGGTGCAGCTGAGCCAAGCCACGATATCAATTGCTTCATATACATGTGAAAGTTGGGACATTGAACAAGGCAGACCAAAGAGTAGATGCATTTGAATTATAGTGCTGGTGAAGACTATTGAAAATATCATGAACTACCAAAAGAATAAACATCTGTCTTTGAAGAAGTCCAGCCACAGTGCTCCTCAGAAGCAAGGATGGTCAGACTTTATACTTTGGAGAAGCTATCAGGAGTGACCAGTCCCTAGAAAAGGACATCGTGCTTGGTAAAATAGAAGGGCAGGGAAAAAGAAGAAGGCCTTCAACAAGATGGGCTGACACAATGACTAACAATGGGCTAAAGCATAGGAATGATTATGAGGTGATACAGAACCAGGAAGTGGTTTGTTCTGTTGCACTAAGGCAGTGGTTCTCAACCTTCCTCATGCTGCGACCATTTAATACAGTTCCTCATGTTGTGGTAATCACCCAACTATAAAATTATTTTTATTGCTATTTCATAACTGTCATTTTGCGACAGTTATGAATCGGGTGATCCCTGTGAAAGGGCCGTTCGACCCCAAAAGGGATAACGACCCACAGGTTGAGAACCACTGCACTAAGGGTTGTCATAAGTCAGAACTGACTCCATTGACATCTAACAAGCTGGCTAAGGGCCCAATGGTGGTAATCCACTCTCTAATGTCCTTACTTTGCTTAAAGACAAGACTATTCACATCCCAAAATAACAGCCAAGAGGTGTTCAGTGAGAGCTTAATCCATGTGAGGACTCTGTAAATGGATTCTGGGTTTCTGCCAACTGGGTGTTCAGAATTTAAACTCAAATCTAATCTTGAGGATTTCTGGTAACGTAGTGGTTACATGTTAGGCTGCTAAACTTGAGGTGATCAGTTCAAAAACACCAGTTGCTCCTAGGAAATAAAAATGAGGCCTTCAACTCACATTATTACTACCAACAAAATAAATAAGCCTTATTATCAAGGAAATCCATAGGGGCAGTTCTACCCTGTCCTATAGGGTTGCTATGAGTGAGAATTGACTCGATGGCAGTGAGAGGGAGGGAATGCAATCTTTAAAGCTAGAAACCATTCTAAGAAGAATATTGAAACTGGAGAATCCCCATTCGGATTTAGCCTCCATTAAAGTCCTTCCAAAGGTAGGGCAGGGGATGTGATTAGTTTTGCCTTCAGGCAGAGAGTACTGGCAAGTGGATTACTTATACCACCACCAACAACAACCCCCAAGCCCAGGGAGGGGTGGTCTCCCTTGAGGTCTTCTCAGACAATCCACAATGGAGATCACCATATTAGGGGTGGTCCTACCAGTCAGACGCACAGTCACGAATCACCAGACTGCCAGGGTCTGAAGGCCCTGGGCCAATCTTGCAAAAACTCTTCAATCTAACATAATATGCATGTCCCAATTGTGGTTTTGTTCCCACTTTTCTGGTCCCACCTGTGACTGTGATGTATTGATCTACAACCAATCATGAGTATGTAATCATAACCCCTGTAATACATGCCTCATTTAAGTAGCTGCTCAATTGTAAATCCTTGGATACCATTATGACCTCATGCTAATGGGCTCTCTCATCAGAATGATGTGTCTTTATGCCTGTCCTGTTTAAGACTTAGCAAATGTTCCCCTTAAGTGATAATTTGTGATTTGGGGTCTCTCATATACCGTAAAACACTGGGCAACAATGGGTTTGGTTTCGGTGGTTCGAATACTATTTGGGAATGGGTTCTTTGTTAAATTAATTAGACATTAGGGCATATCTTGAGTCAATCTCTGGAGATGTCAAAGGCAGCAGAGATGGGTAAGATAGGTGCTAGGAACAAGGGCCTTCCCCCGGAGCCAATGGAGAGACAAAGCTTTCCTCTAGGGCTGGCACCCTGAATTCAGACTTCTTTGAATTCTGAGAAAAGAAGTTTCTGTTTGTTAAAGCCACCCACGGCGCTAATTCTATTATAAACAGCACTAGAAACATTAAAAGACGATCCAAGTGCGGCTCCCATTCTAGCCTTCCCTCTCCTTTTAATACAATCTGGGGGCGAGGGGAGAATGGTAACGCGAAGAGGGTGAAATCATCCCAAAAAAGAGAGCATCACCCTGAGTCTCCCAACGGATGGCAGCGTGTCGCGCTCCCTTCTCAAAGAGCACGGGCGTGGCCAGAGGAAAACGGGGGTCGGCGCCGGCACCTCGGCAAACGG